GATCCATCGATGCCCACTGTCCCCGAATCCAGGCAAGAACTAGCACCTGATCCACGCCCTGCTGTCGAGACGGTGGTTCCACAACCTCAGGCTCATGCCACCCCGCGTGCTCTACGTTCGCTCCGGCCGCACAACGTCCCTGGCATACAAGAGCAAGATGCTCCCATAGGCGTGAGCACGCCTCCAGGCGGCCCTCGGCGATCGGCGATCGGCGAGACTGTTGGCCAGACAGAGCCCCAAGCCAATTGACTCTAAATCTTATTCTGATTCAGATCATTGTTCAATCATTTGTTCCTTGTTATATCACCATTATTTCTTGACATTTCATCAGTTATGTGCCATCATTCGTATCTGTTCCTTGTGTCCATTATTATTATTTCCCTTATTTGTCCATCATATGCATCTGCTTTATTTCTGTTCCGTTTCTGTCCCAGTCATGCATCGTCTGACGTATGTCTTCATTGTGCTTGATTATTAAAAGTCTACGTCAAGTCACAAAGAGTGTTGACATTTATTTACTAAAGACTGACGAACCTAACATGATCACTGCGTTTGACCGCTGGCTACATCGGGGGAAAACATGCATTGATATCAGCGATTGTTATGTTGTTTAGAAAAATCTGTTTCTGTGGGTGTGTACAAAAGTTCATGTTTGTAAAATAAAGTTCTTGATTTAAAAATCAGGGAAACTTTCTTCTGGAAGAGACCTCGTTTGTGTATCACTGTGAAGAAATCTAATGAGTGCGTTCATATGGTGATTGCTGGATCCCTCGAGAATCAGTCAAGTTGATCTTACCTTGTCTTTTCGTGCAATATTGTAATCAGTTCAACACCCATTAATAAGAGTTTCAGTGTGGGAGAAAGCCACAAGGTCGTGATCTTAGTGCTGTGTTGTTCTAACGCCATGAGGAACTCAAAGAAGAACAGGGGCTCTCGTGGTCTAGAGCTACGATGTTTGCTTCTCATTGAAAAGGTCCCGGGTTCAAAACCTGACAGCAACGGAAAATCTCCTAATATAAAATGTTCTCATTTCACCTCCTTTCCTGCTCTCTAATCATGTTTTGTCGTTTGCTTTTGTCCCCCCCCCCCTTTGCCCCTCCTCTGGGCTCTTGACTTTTCTGAGGCATATCTACAGTTACTCTTTGGCTCCTTCTTACTGCTGTCTTTCAGCCATTTCCCTGATCTTAGGTAAGTAAGATTGTTAACACCTAGCCTTCTAGGATGGGCCCAAAAATTTCGGTGGTCCTGTGTGCAAGTTGCATGTGTTAAAGATCGCTTGGTGGTCTTAAAATCGATAAGAGTAGGTTTCGGCCGCCACCGGGCAAAGCTTAAAATTAAATCCTACTAAACTGAATATACTTTATGTATCTAGCGCGCTCGTATGCAGGTAGGAGCGCGGTAAAACACTTACAAAAAAACTTTCAAAAACAAAACAAGGAAAGAACATTTTTTAAAAAGAGGAAGAAATAGTTGTACTCCATTAGTCCGGCTTTGACGTACATCACTTTGAAAGTACTGGATTCCAGTTGCAGAGAAGGGAGTAAGTTTGTGCCTAATTCAACAGAATTTCTACGATACGGGGGTATTTGCAGTGGTAAATTCGGGCTCAAGGGATAGATTTTTCAACAGTAATGACGGCTGTGACAAAAACTCTCACTCCCTAAAGTGGAGACTTGAGAGTTGTAGTACATGATTGTGAGCAATCAGCTTAAGATGGGTAGTCGGAATAGTATTAGAATACTTAGATCACCGATATTTCAGGCAGAGAGCTTGGAAACTTTGAAAGAAGTCAGGGTTAACTCTATCATCTGATCGTTGTGTGTCGGTTTCCACCTAAAAATAAAAATCCCAACAAATCAAAACAGCAAACAAACAAACAGACAAACAAAACAAAACCAACAACAACACAAGGGAGGCGCTGGCCCTGGCGAAGAGCACGCTCTTCGCGGCTCTAAACATTTCGAACGGATAGGCTATCACACACGCACACACATAGACACACACACACATCACTTACACACAAACACACTCACGCACACACACAGACACACACACACACACACACACACACACACACACACACACACACACACACAAAACAACCCCCCATACGCAATGAAACAGACGGAAGTGGCTGACAAACTAAACTCTCCCTCGGTTCATTAAGCCAGACGATGACATTTATATAGGGTTGGTCTCAAGTTTAAAAAACCCCAAACAAAATGAAAAACAACCCAACCTAACCAAAAAACAAACAAAAACCAACAACCAACCAACTTGACCAGTGTTTTGCTAACCTAGGTGTACAAAATTTCGTAATTTTTGTGGACAGACGAGATTCACCTGAGTTATGACAGGTATTAATATTTTAAAATACCCAGCTCGGGAATATAATAATACATTATTACAGGTGGAAGGTACGTACATTTTCGCCTCTTAATCGTGGCAAAAGCGGACGCTGACTATAAAAAAAAAAAAGATGAAGAAACACTGACTGGTTTATAAGACACTCAGAGAGTTATTCTCTCCGAGAGCCACAAATGCACAACACTATCGAGTCCCCAGTCCCCTATTGTGGTGGGGCTGGCAAAGTAAGCTCCCAGTGTACTGGTACATTGTTTAAAGTATAACTAGCTAAACGTGTACCACTCGAACTATTTGTGATAGATCGATGATGATGATGATGATGATGATGATGATGATGATGATGATGATGATGATGATAAAAGTGCGTCCGGCAATGTCAGACACAGACCAAAACATCCCCAGAAGAGAATATTTCTCAAGTGAAATAGAATTAAGAATTGGGAGAATTAAAGCAAAACCCTAACATCACGCGAAGCGTGGACAATCAATAAACAGCTGGAAAGAACAATTATTGTGGCGACAGAGTTGTGGTTCATAAGACGTACCCCATGGAGAGCTAGAAAAACAAATGAAGAAGTCTTGATTGAAGCAAATTATAAAAGACAGCTTATGACGAATATACGAAATCGACAAGCAGATTTCTTCGGACACACAATGCGGAAAGAAGCATTAGAGAATATTGTAACAACAGGCAAGTTTGATGGAAAGAGAGGCGGAGGCAGACAGAGGGAAAAGATACTGGACAAGATGACAACATGGCTAGGAGCAGCAAGAACAACCGACACCATTGCTGCAACGCAAGACAGAGTGAAGTGGAGATCCATGATCGCCCACGTCAGTCGGCAAGGCACCGGATGATGATGATGATGAACATGACAAGAAGAGACAAGCAGAGACATGAAGAAGTGAGAGCAACTATTTGCACGAAATCTTGCCTGCCTTTCACAGACCAAAAAAAAAAAAAAGAAGATAAAAAATGATTTTGGCCAAGTGTTACAACGAATGGCACCTATCTAGCCAGCCTCGAGAACCTATACCACCGTGTACTCAGGCTATAAGGGACGAGGTGGGGCACACAAAAGATGGATTGAGGGAGTCAAGGGAACCCTGGAAAATTAAAATATCCCCATTGAAAGAGCTGCAGAGTTTCTTATCGCTGAAAACTACATCTGCTCTCGGTGCTTAACGGCAAAAGAGGATGAAAAAGAAAAAAGTAAAGGTTAAGATGACTTGGGGCTTCTACTAAAGCCGATGAAACCAATTCTAGCAGAGAAAAGGTTGCCACATTTGCGCATTCAAAAGCTCTTCTTCCACTGAAGGATTTGCGCAGCTTGCGTGCTTCTCTCTTGGTTTCAACATTTCCTATTCGCGAAGCCTCGTGTTCGTGTTTGACTTTCGCAAAGCTTTGTTTAAAGTGAGGAAGAACGGCGCAAACACCAGACTCACTCTCTCAACTTGGTACAAAGTGTCTGATGGCAAGATAAATGTGTATAACAGCAGAGATAGCATCAGAGGCGACTGTTTTGGGAACAATAAACGTTTGACTTAGTAAATCAAAAACAATCACTACTGTCACCATCATAATCATCATCATCATTGCCAACAAGAACAGCAACACAAGCACCACCACTCAAAAAACACAACAGCAACAACGAATTAAAACAGCAACAATACGATTAGAAACAATACCAACAACAATAACCACCACCAACAACAACTACAATACCACCACCACCACCGCCACAACCACTACTAACAACAACAATATGAACATGAACATGAAAAAGCCAAATACCTTTTCTTCTTTTCCATTGATGTCCAGATAGATGGTCCTGGCGTGCTCGAAAGAGGAACCGTTCCCCATGATGACGAGAGGAAAATGGGGAGGGGGAATGAATGGGGAGGAGGGGAGGGAGGAGAAGGGTGAGGAGGAGGAGGTGGAGGAGGAGGAGAAAGACCTCGCAGGAGAGGAGAGGAGGTGATGCTGCTCCTCTCTCTCTCTCTCTCTCTCTCTCTCTCTCTCTCTCTCTCTCTCTCTCTCTCTCTCTCTCTCGCTATGAGATGGGAGGTGATGAGGTGTGGTGGTGGGTGCGTCCAATAGGGTCAACTTTCAATCTCTCTCGTCTCTCGTCTCAGAGGTTGTTGAGAAGAATCTGGAGAGAAGACACAACGACAAAAGCTTTAACAAGAATATCGTTAGCAAGCAGTGTACATGACAATATTATTTTAAGTTAAGAAAGCTCAATTTTGCAGGAGAGAGAAAGAGAGAGATTGCGAGATAGAGAGAGAGAGAGAGAGGGTGAGAGAGAGAGAGAGAGAGAGAGAGAGAGAGAGAGAGAGAGAGAGAGAGAGAGAGAGAGATATTTTTAAAACAACAAGAAAAACAACTATTTTATTCTAAAAAGATTTTTTGTTCATGGAGAATTAGAGCAAAAAACACTATGACAATAATTCGTAACGATTTTTTCGGTTACAAAAACTGTGGGCAATGTTCCGAGCCTCGCTGGCTGATGAGTCAATTTGCTCCGCAGTATTCGTGCATTGTTTTCGATGTAACTACCCCAGATTATCCCTAGAGGTTTTTTGTGTGGTTTTTCTTCAATCTACCGTTGTTCTTTTGATGTATACACCACGGTTGTCTCGAAATAGATTTGAAATTGGAGGATTTAAGTTTGGTGTCGGAGACCGTAACGATCGCTATAGCCATTCTGAACCCTATTTTCAATGCCCTTGGAATTGCTGCACTCCCAACAAGACCTTTGGAGTGCGGGGTATCATCTTGACTTTATGACAGAGAGGGTTTTTGTTTGTTTGTTTGTTTAGGTACGTGTTTTACGGGGCTCACAACTGCATGTTAAGGTCATATGAACGCACAGGACACATTAAGCATATTTCAGTTTGTAGGTATTCATTTTGAATTTTGCCTGGGTTGCAGCAGAAGGCTACTCTTATCAATTTTGAAACTTTAACATGAGCACCTTGCAGACTGGACTTCCGATATTTTTTCGCCCTTATCCTAGACGGCTAGGTGTTAGATCTTACCTACCCTAAGATCAGGGGTGTGGCTGAAAGACAGCAGTAAAAAGGAGCCAAGGAGTAGCAGAAGAAAAAAAGTAGTAAAAATACTTTAGAAAGAGTTAGAAGCACAGAAGAGAGAGAGAGAGAGAGAGAGAGA